AGATTATGCAGAGCTGAAAAGACAAGTTTTCTATGACTGTCTGGAACAAAAGGTACATGTTTTACCATGTGAACTGTCGCAATACAGTTCTACAGAACTCTCTGGCATTTTTAACTTCTTTGATTGCAGAACTGGAATTTTCTTTTTTTTGGTCTAAAAAGGATTGGAGTACAGTGTCACTCTGTTGTGCTTTCGACATAGATTCATAGTTAATAGGAATGACATTAGCAACCATTTTCGATGTGGAGAAAGAGCATCGGCTGGTCCATTTTCTGCACCACTCACATGTTGAATATCAGTAGTGAACTGGCCGATGAAATTAAGTTGATTAATTTGTCGAGGTGAGAGCTTGTCATACTTTTGGAAAAATGCTTTTGTGAGTGGCTTATGATCTGTAAATACTTTGTTGTAAAGTTCGTACCTTCAAGCAGATATCTGAAGTATTTGATAAGCGGCAAATATTGCTAACAGCTCTCGGTCGTACGTACTGTACTTTTGTTCCGTATCGCTCAATTTTCTGGAGAAAAATCCTAATGGTTCCCATGTTTGAGCATTGAGTTGTTGGACGCAAGCGCCTATGGCTTTGTCTGATGCGTCGCACATGAGAGCAATTTTCTTTTTTGGGTCTGGGTGGACTAAGTTTGTAGCCTGTGTCAGAAGCTGTTTACATGACTCAAAGGCTGTTTCAGTGTCTATTGACCAATTTAAAGGTGTTTTGTCATTTTTCTTACAACGTCCAAGCATACCATTTAAAGGAAGTTGAATTTCAGCAGCATGATTTAAAAATCTCCTATAGAAATTAAGAGTTCCCAAAAAACGTCCAAGTTCATTAACAGTTTTGGGTTTGGGAAAATCTTGGATAACTTTAATTTTTTTCTGGTTAAAGGAATGATTCCATTTTTGTTGACAATGTGACCTAAAACTTTTACGCGTTCTGCAGCAAATGTGCATTTAGGAAGGTTGACAGTCAAAATATGACTTTTTAATCTCTTAAAAACTTCTTTGATATGAAGTATATGTTCATCGAGGGATGATAAAGCAGTCAAAATATCATCTATATAGACGAAACAGAAATTTAAATCTGACAGAATTTGATCGAGTAATTTACATAATGCTGTGGAAAGCATGCCAAATGTCATATAGTTGAACTCAAATAATCCGAAACTATTGCCGTTTTTGGTATGTCCTCTTTATTCATTGGTACCTGGTGATATGCCTTCTTGAGGTCTAATGTTGAAAAAAAAGTTTTATTGCTCAAATTAGATGTAAAATCATGTAGATGTCAAATTGGATAATTATCTGGAACAGTGATTGAATTTAATTTACGGTAGTCCCCGCAAGGCCGCCAAGACCCATCTGGTTTTTTTACCATGTGGACCAGATGGTAAAAAAAACTGGACTACTCCAGGAGCTTTTAGAAGGGCTACAAATATCTTTTTGCACTAAATAAGTGAATTCTGCTCTTGCGGTAGCCAATTTGTCAGACCTAGCCTTAGCTTCTACTGAAGAACCTTTAGTTTCAATTACGTGCGTAATTTCAAGAGTATTGTTATCCAAAGGCTGTTTTAAAACATCTTGAAACAGAGAATCATATTTTTTAAGTAAATCTTAAACACATGTAATGTTTGTAAAACTGTAATTTTGGGTACAGTATCCCATGATATCTTGCCATCTAACTCAACATTAGTCATGTTGTCAATTTTTTGGATTTCAAATTAACAATAATACCATAATTACTTAAAAAGTCTGTGCCCGAAATTGGTTGCAAAACATTAACAATAGTAAAAGTCCATGGAGACATTCAGCGTAAATCTATGTCTAAATTGAATAAGTGTTTTCCATATACATCAATTTTGGTACCATTTACTGCAATTAAATTGAGCAATAATGTTGATTTACATCGGTCTTGTGAACTAGTAGGCAAAACAGACAATTCAGTGCCTGTGTCAACCAAAAAATGTGTTCTTAAAGATTTTTCATATACAAGGAGGCAACAATTTTATTTTGGCGTATGGCGTTCGTTGCCACACACGCTTGGCCGTCTAGTTTTCCGATTTAAAAGTGCAAGATTTGTTGCATTTAACGGCCTTTTTCGCCAAACTTGGTGTGATACCAACACATGGATGTGTTTTCGGTTTGTTTATTCAGGCAAAGATCTAGATCTAGAACTAGAACGACCACGAGAGTTAGATTGAACACAAGAATACAATGTAAAAAGTTTATCTACTTTTTTATTTAAATCAGATATTTGTTTCTGTAAATTATCTAAAGCATCACTTGTATCAGTAGAATTAGTTACTTTTGATTTCACGTCCATTGCATGAAGCTGAGTTGGACTTGTGATGTCATAGATTTTGTCAGCCATAGTTGTTAATTTTTTAAGTTCGATATCAGAAGAGGCCAATATGGCTTGCATCTGGGCTGGAAGGCATTGAAGCCACAATGAGTTTAGTAATTCAGTTCTGATGAGAGGTCCCGCTAGTTCTTGCATTTGTCGGAGTAAAACAGATGGACGTTTGTCGCCTAAATGAATGTCTCTCAAAAGTTTTTTAAATTTTTGTTCTTCAGAATCAGAAAATACTTCAATTAATCTTTTTTAAGAGTGTCATAAGCATCAATAACTGGAGGAGGATCAATTATATCACTTACCTGACTTAAAATGTCAGTCTCGATGTGGCCTACGACTATATGGTATTCTGTGATATCGGTACTTATCCCACTGTTAAAGAATTGGCTTTCAATCTGGCAAAACCAAATACTTGGATTATCTTTCCAAAACGGCGGTACTTTAACTGAGATTCTGTTATTTCAGGTGCTTGTGTTGAAACAATAGTATCGTCGTTAAGAGAAATATTCGAACAATTAAAAACGTGTTCTTCTTAATGCCGTAGTCACCAATTTGAGGCTGATTAATGGCTAGACACCCAATTTAGAAAAATAAATTCTTGAATTAATCAAAATATGTACATGGCAATAAATAACAGGAATCTCAGCGATGAGTAAACGCATACATGAAACCAGAAAGTGAAATTTCTCTTTTGCAGTCGCGCAAAGATGATATTCTTATCGTGCATGTGCAAAGAGGAGAAATCAAAGCGCCGAAGAAATATGGGGGGGATGGTAGCCCCCACATGTATATAAGAAGATGACTTGGAGAAAGCTGCAACAGATTGGAGATTGTCAAAATATAATAAAAACGAATTTATAAATATTAATGTATGAACACCGAGACATAAGAAATGCAGAAATACTGAAGGTGAAGCATGTATATGGAGTATTGAAAAGGAAGAATTCTGATTGTGTAGAATGCTAAAATATTGAATTTGTAATGACTAAGAAACTTGGCAGTCGAAATGGAGATTAAATTCCATTTTTATTTAAATTTACAATGATACTGTTGCAGTAGAAAGAGAGCACAGTGAAATAGCATCCAAGCAGCACAGACGGTGAAGCTAAAGTATGCAATTATCCAATGCGGCACATCACTAAAAATAGGTTTTGGTTTAGTTTAAAAAGGTTTCAGTTCTTGAAATGTTTAGTTTAGGTTCCGATTTACCAACGTCATCAACGTTATGCAAGCCATGTGACGTATATTAATCTAGAAATGGTGTAGTCTAGAAAAGTTATTACTTCTTTTAGAATACAGAGGGGAAATACCAAAATTAAAAATGAGTAATTTAAAGCCTTTTAATTATGAAGCTGATTTACATATTTTTTTTATCTTGCATGTTTATATAATAAAGTGCAACAAAAAATTTCAGCAGCATGACTAAATGAGCAGACAGTTTATAATTTTTTTAGGAATTAACTAAATATTTATAAGTAATTATTTGAATTTTTGGTCCTAGTTTTGTTATTTTCTGTTTCATAAGATGGAACTTTGATTCCAATAGAATTTTCAATATTTTTCTTTTATTGTAAAAACATTTTGTAAATGTGTATTTCCAGATATTTTTGTATTTGATTATTTGTATGTTTAGTTTAGGTTCCGATTTACCAACGTCATCAACGTTATGCAAGGCCATGTGACGTATATTAATCTAGAAATGGTGTAGTCTAGAAAAGTTATTACTTCTTTTAGAATACAGAGGGGAAATACCAAAATTAAAAATGAGTAATTTAAAGCCTTTTAATTATGAAGCTGATTTACATATTTTTTTTATCTTGCATGTTTATATAATAAAGTGCCAACAAAAAATTTCAGCAGCATGACTAAATGAGCAGGACAGTTTTAATTTTTTTAGGAATTAACTAAATATTTATAAGTAATTATTTGAATTTTTGGTCCTAGTTTGTTATTTTCTGTTTCATAAGATGGAACTTTGATTCCAATAGAATTTTCAATATTTTTCTTTTATTGTAAAAACATTTTGTAAATGTGTATTTTCAGATATTTTTGTGTTTGATTATTTGCATATTCTTTCATGATATGTTCAAGTGTTTAATCTAGTGTTATTACAGTATTTTTTTCTTAGGAGTGGGATTGTTTTGGGGTATTTTTCCTTATCTACTTGAAAATAAAATTGACATGAATTAACTTAATTGAGTTAAAATATTAATTTAGATTGTATTAAATCAAATTTTCAAGTAAATAGGAAAGACAAAACATGATTCAGGTATCTTTAATTGTTGGTGGTTAAATCGAAAGGCTAATACCTTGTAAAAAGTCAGCCCTTTTTTCATGGAATCAACAATAATTAATATTATTTAAAAGTTTTTTTTCTAAAATGAATCCTTTAACTGCCAATAACTTCCATAGTTACAATAGTTTTCTAATTACAAGGGATTTTTACTCTGATAATCTCTCTAGTTAATAATTATATATATATTTATATACATTTATAGTGATTTTTTTTACATGGGGTTTGAAACTAAAGCAAAATTATAATGACAATTACAAAAATATGTTAAATTTTGAAAGTTTTAGTATTTTTATTATATATTATTCATTCATTGCTTTCTCACCACATTATTATTAACATCTGTTATTATTTATTTAGGTCTTTGTGAAAAATGTGAAACTTTAAGTGAGAAATTCGTGGAGATGAATACGAATTTTCCAAATAGAGGTAATTTAATTGTAAAGCTGTGTGAAAATAAAGAAAAAGTTGAGCAGGATTTATATGGTCCTTAAGCTTTTTGGGATCGATTTTTTAGTCTTTAAAAGTCCTTAATTTTAACCCAAATCTGCAGAAGGTTCTTAATTTTAATCACCTGAAATATGTCTGTTTTTACAACTGCCATTTTGAGTGTGAATTAGCATTTTGGAGGAATATTTTTTATGATCCACTGGCAAATATGGTTATTTTTTGAATGGGTTATAATTTCTTCATATTTCTAATATGAATGGTGGGATACTCGAGTTTCTGAGCAAGAAGTACAACATAAGCATTTCGAAATTATTTAACAACTTTTCGCTTTTGGGGATGTGAATTCTTTTACTAAATGGTTCTAAGTTTGGTAACTTATCAACATTTTGGCAATTTTAAAACATTTTTAATTTTTGCTGTCATATTATAGTTTCATTTTGGCCACTTGTTATACAGTATTTTGAATCTGAAAAATAAGCAAAGTTTGCTATACAGCACAATTTACAAAATAGTTTTTAGCAAAACTAAAATAGCTATGTAATTAATTAAAAGTATCTTCTTTTTAATTTTTCCATGGTAAGAGTTTTTCCCGTTAATTGTCTCAGAATATGCATGCGTTCTCTATAAAATTAATTTTACACTTTTTCCTCTGATTTTTTCCCCCTGCCTTTTTGCTGTTACAGAATTGGTAGGGGTAATTTTTCTTTTAGGATTTTAGACATTGCAGCTTAAAAAGTTTAGAATGATTTGAAGGCAAGATTTATAGACTCGTGATGTGATCCAGAAAAATGTGACAAAATGAAAAATGTCTCCATGGTAATATAACACATAATTTCTTAATTTTTGGAGAACATCTGGAAGAACAATGAAAATGTAACATTTGAATGTTTTACTTCTGATACTAGAATCTTTTTTCTAACATGTCTCTCTTCCCTTCATTTCCTCTACTTTTCGCTAGACAAAAGCCAAAAATGCATTTAATCTTATATGGACAGACATTATAGAAAAGAATTTTTTTTATTAATAAAGAAATTTAAAACTGACAATTTAAAAGATTCATCTAATATGCCTTAATGCATCATAAACAGGGCTGGCACTAGGCATTTTCCCACCTGATGAAATCTCTGTGGATCCTAAATTCTGCTTCCAATGCCTATTCTAAATTCTAAAAATTATGCTACATTAGCTCTGTAACCAGACCTTATCATATATATTTCATATTTTTTCTGAATGTTCATATTACTAAAGAAATAAAATTAGTAGCTTTTTGTACACATTTAGTTTTTTTTTTTTTTTTTTAGAATAACAAATCTTTAATTAAATCCAAAAATTCTGTAAAAGGAAAAGGAAACACGGAGGAAAGAAACTGAATATATAAAGAGAAATAAAATCATTCTTCAAAGATATGTACAGTCATTATTAAATAAAATTGCCCAGTCATTTATAATTTCACCTTTTACTATACTTTCCCATTTCTGTTTTGTCATCAGAATGCAAATCACTTATACAATTTTTAAACTGAGGTTTTGGAGTGTGAGACAAGAGTGTTTCTGACCTCCACTTGCTCTGTGCATTAGTTCCTGCCAGCTCTGATAATTTGTAATTATTCGTCTTTGCATTACCACTGCCAACATTTGAATTTGTCATAACGATAGAATTACTGAGTCAGCGTAAATTAAATTTTGGCCACTAGTCCATATTTGTAGTTTGAGTTTAACTCATCGTGTTTAATTGCATCACCATGAGCTGTAATTGATTTTGTTAGCATAAGAACATGCCTTTATATTCAAAGTTCTTTTTAAATAAGAGCTTATATAAACCTTTGTCTGACTTTGTAGTTACTTTCAGATATAGCGGGCCCCACCAGCGGCCGAGCAGTGAAGACGCTGAACACTGGTAGTTCGGTCCGAGGTTCGAATCCCGCGAACAGGCTGGCTGCATGGGCATTTTCGTGGTTTTCCCCATGTGTAACGTGTATACGAGCTAGTTTCCCTTAGAAAGTCCTCCACGAAGGCATCCCTCCCTTTAGGCAGATAGCCCTCATGTGCTTTGCCGTAATTTAATAATCCAATCCAATTCAGACATAGCGATAATTTGCTTCACATCTGTTGGGGGAGAGGGTTTGGACTTTTTAACTTTTACCAGATCAAGTAAACTCTCATAAATCCATTGAGGAGAGGTTGACAAATTATGAGATAAAACATGCAGAAACTAGTGAGAACACTGTTTTGCATATTGAGATAAATTTCTAATTGTTAGAAAAGGTGTTTAAAGAGAAGGAAATCAATATAAATTAGCCAAAATGTCTGGGAAGGCTTCAAATTAAAAAGACGCATAAGTATTTTGTAGAGTGTTGTTACTACAAAGCATAAATGTTTTGTAGCTTTTAATGTGCAATTATCCTAATATTATTTAAGAATCAGTGTTATAAATTACATGTATTTTAAACTGAAATTTTATTAGATTTTAATTTTAATAGACCTTTTTTTAACAAATACTGTTAAAAAATAAATAAAATTTAATTGTGGCCATATAAATCCATAATGACTAAAGTTATCCTTATTTAACTACATATACCTAACTGCTTATCCTTAAAAATTATCTCTGCATAGTTATTGCCTTTCATTAACCCTTACCGTGGTTGCAAGATAAAAATGTAAAAAAAGTCATGTAAAACTTATTCTTCGCATCTAGTGAGACTTAAAATAATGCAAAACATCTTATCACCTATGGTGCATTAGTGGTTTATTAGAACCTTAACCCCTTCACCCCGACTGTCACGTCTACGACTGTCACAGCCCGACTGTCACGTCCAGCAACAAACACACTCACTTCCCGGCCAACACGCAGGCGTGCCAGAGCGTTTTCCCGTTCAGCCCCGACTGTCACGTATTTGTGCCAGTGTCCTGGAATGTTTTAAAAACTATAATTTCTGCCAAGAGATGGCACTGTATGTCCATATGGTTTCAGATACATGTACATTAGACCTTCTACTCGAAATGAGAGAATCATGACTCACATACACGTGTTTTTGATTATATAAACAAACGGGAAAAATAAATGTTTCCGAATGGTGTGACTTATGACGTCTCTTTAAATTCGCACGTGGTAGTTTATTGTAAGAAGAAAAGTTTTATTTTCGCTACAGTTTAGTTTTTAGAAAATAATTAGATCTTGTTAGATGTGAATTCTTTCTGTTTTTACCGTTGCAATGTCAAAGCGTCGAAAATGTTTAACAGAGCATGAAATAGCAGAAATGATGCAAAATATTTCAGATATTGATTCTAAATATATGACACCAAGATCAGCAGAATCATTAAATCCGCTCAGTTTAACTGAAAGATATTTTCCAAAACTTTGTTCAGAAGAGACTGATAAGAAAATAAGACGACGATGCTTCATTTATTCACATTCCCAGAAAAATCCTCCAAAACGGCAAATGAGTTATTATGAGTGCAAGGAATGTAACGTAGGACTGTGTGTAGATCCCTATTTTCAAATTTTTTCATACGAAAAGAGAATTTTAAGTAATATATTTAGTTTTCAGATGTATAATGTTAAAAGTTATAAAATGGTGAGTAATGAAAATAAAATGTGTAAAATATGCATGTAAACAAGAAATAAGGTAATTAAAGTATATATAAAAATATCTATAAAGCATAAGCCGTTTAAATACTCTATAGAGCATTATTAAACAATGCATAGATACTTTGGAAATTTCATGGATTTAGGCTTAATAGCAAAAAAGCCCCGGCCCTGGACAGACGCTCGCGTAAGACACTGCTGGCCTCCGCGATAAGCGCGTGTTTGCGCTACCCAGCACGAAGGGGTTAAAGTATATTAACTGAGTTACAAATCCTGGAACTCTACATGAAACTACGACACTAACTGCATCAGACAGAGCTCAGCTGACTTTCAAAACTTGTCAACTGTGCCTATCAGGCTTTTCGGGCTTGTTCTTATCAGCAGGTCTCTCTGTAGGCAAGCAGTAGCAGTGAGAACAGCTAGTCTTTTGTTATGAATCATGCTGATTATTATTTTACTTCTCATTTTAACCTATACTGCTTGACATAAGATCTTGCTATTTACTAAACCTCTAGACTGAGCAAGTGTGTGATATAATGAGATATTAAAAAAAAAAAAAAAAAAAAAAAAAAAAAAAAATCAACGTAAAGCTGTTAGAAAACCTAAATAAAATGTGTTATATCTTTCAAATGTTCAGTTATAAGTGTAAAATATTTTAAAATAGTTAATGCTACTGGATAAATTTCATAAAGTTTATTTTTTTCTCAAACTTATTAATAATTATGTTAATTTAGTATGTTTAATAATAATGCAGCCTACTTACAGATCTATTTTATTTTTAGGATGGCATTACAAAAGTGAAGTTCAGACATATATAATATTTTTGATCGAATTTATTCAGTGCCCATTTGATCATAGGTTCTTAAAAGTACTTAATTTATGTGTACGAACTCTGATTGAGGCACAAAATAATATTTTAACACAAATAAAAATAGAAAATAATGATTTAGGAAATGCCATGCATGTTGATGTAATAAATTTTGTGCAATTTGAAATTATTGGATATGAACTGTGTAATAATCCCTAAATATTTCTTTGTGATGAAAACACAGTCTGGTTTTCGCATTGAAGTATTCAGTGATAAAATATTTCTGAAATACGTTTTCACAAAATCCTTTTTAAAATTAACTAAATAACAGATGTTTAACTTTATTTCAGATGATGATAGTGAGTCTGATGTGTCTGTAGGATCTATAAGTTCAATCCATACAAGTGATTTGTCATCTTTTGATGATGTAATCAGTATTTCTTCTGAAGACGAGTCAGGTCAAAAGAAAAGAAAAAAGATATCTATAAATGAAGGTAAGTTGGAGGATTGGCTGTTATATATCTGCATAGTATGTGTATGTAAAAGGAAAAAGAAAATTATTTTCTTATTAAAAACTATATTTATAAAATGGCTTTTAATAAGAAAGTGAATAACAGGTAAGATAATTTAATAGATTTTTATTCCTGTTACTCTTTTTTTTTTAAAACTCCTCTTTATTAAATTATTTAAGCATAAATTAATAGATTGATCATTCCTGTTACTGATTTTAAAACTTTTTTTTAATTAAGCCTTCCCTTCTGCATTCTAAAATTAGCTCTGTAGTTTCAGATGTTATTTTGGTATTGACGTAGTATGCAATAAACTGCTTTTAACTAGTTATTTCTTAGATTGTGTTACTAAAACACTGATTAAATGCATAATAAATACAAATAAGTTAGAATGAATAAATGAAAATGGCTCCATTAAATTTAAATTCCTTTCTGTTTTACAAAACAAAAGCAGGAGTGGCCCTGAAAAGAGATTTTTATGAATTATTCAGCTGTATACATTGCAAATGTCTTTCAGCAGGGTCAAGAATCTAATCATCACTCTTATTAATGGATCTCCACCATGCTTCTGCGAGATAATGTTGAAACATTTGTGGTGTGGTACTTCACATGTTACGTAGTCTTTAGCTTCAAAATTTCCCAGTATGATTTAATTGTTTGAGTATTCATATCATATGCAGGATTGATACAGTTCTTTTGGTGATTTATAGTTCGATGATTATATCCTAAATCAACATGTTTCCTTATAAGGCCATTCGTCTCTCATGATAATAAAGGCAGATATTACTTATTACTGGATTATGAGTAGCAACATTGTGGCATCTCTTCACTGAGGTATTAGCTTCATAACATGAAAAATTCCAGTAGTTTCATATTCATATGTGTGATAAAATGGGGGAAAAAGAAATGATTATGATTACAAGCAGTTTTATTGACGCTGTCTAAACAGTAACTACCTAAAACCAGTAATTCGTATGCCACATCATTGTTTTTTAGTCGGTTATGTTATTTAAGTTTTTACTATCCTGTTCATAAAAAAATATGTAGCTCTTCATCATGCTTAACATGTTGACGGCGACATGGATATTCGTTGTTCTTTTCTTGTGACGGCACTTGAATGGCACTTGTGATGTCCATCCACTTTGTGACTTTCTGTAGTGAAGTAATATTTAAAAAAAAATTAAATTCATACGAAGGATCCGCGAGGAAGGTGAGAAAGCTATGCTATAAATGCTTATCAAGCCCAAAAGGTATTCAGAAAGGTTCTACGAATAGAGCAAAGAAAGTAACAACATATTGCGATAATTGTAAGAGCAAGCCAGCACTTTACTTAGCCTTCTTTAAAAAATTGCATAGAAAAAACTAATAATTATATTTAATTTATAAGTTACATTTTAAGTTATTTGTTTTATATTGAATGTTGGATTATAATGTTGAAATGTTAATGTATACTGATGAATTATTAAAATAAAATAAAATTTTGTACCACATATTTTTTTATATACAAGCGTGACCCGTGGAACAACTAGCATGACCCACCGGTGGGTCATGCCATCCCATGGAACAGACAAGTATGACCCACTGGTGCGTCAGGCCGACGTCAACGTGTTAATGGTTTTGTGTTTAATAACTAATGTAATAACAGTACTTATGAAGAAATATTGCCAAACATTTCTTTAAAGGTGAACAGGGATGCCTTGCCACTATGAGATGATAACTGTTATTGCAGAAAATGTAATTGTATCACATCATAAATATACTGAATTGTATTGCTAAAATGTATTTATGTATTTGGGTTACTTCAGAAAATAGACTGAATTGCATTATATCATTAATACATTGTGCCAGTAAAATATAATTATGTTGTGCTCGAAAATTTAATTGAATATAATTCAGGTTAAACAATAAATATTGTGTGTTTATGCATAAAGAAAATTAATTATTTAGTTACATCATCATACTATACAGATATCTTGGTTACATCACTAATTTATATGAATTTGGAAAATTTACAAATATAAATTAAATTTCTATTTGTAATAATAGTATATTGCATTAAAAAATTGCATTTATCATTTGATATTAGACAATTGGGAATATACTGGTAATTTTTGGTGAGGGTCTGACATGCTCACTCAATGCTGAAATAAAAATCAGACACTAATAATTAGGCAAAACAATTGATGTGTAATTGATTTATTTATTCATTTGCCTCTATAATTCTTTTATATAGATATTTCTAAGCTGATTAATCTCTTAAAATCATAACAAGTCTGCTTTTTTTTAATTATATATGAATGGAATATTTCTTTGTTTGAATGATTTAATTCACGATTTTGGTTTAAAGTTCTTTATACAAAAATTGATTTCTAATATATCTTATGACTATCGTTCAGAATTACTCTTTCTATCCAGTGTCTTTGGTAAGATGGAGATTAATTCATAAAACTAAATGCCTAGAAGGATCTAGTAGAAAAATGGACAAGAGATAAGCACAGAAATTTCAAGACAGAGAGAGAGAGGTGAATTTATGGGATCATGCAACTAAGGTGCAAGAGATTCTGTTTTTTAAGAAGCTTCCAAATCACTAATTATGAATTAAAAAAAAAAAGTTAAAGCATTTGTTTTAAGATAAGATGTCTGCAGAAGTTCTTTTGGTGAAGGGGGCCCTCTTCGTTTACATATCCATGCTTGGGCAAAGGATAAGATAAAACTTATTTGTTCGGAAATTTGCCATTAAAGAATGAAGAAGAGATGAGGGTCTAAATTTGAAATGCCTATAGCCCTGTTCACAAGAGCAGATTCGACCGGCGGAGAAAACCGGTTCTTCCAACGTGTCCCATTCACATGGCGAACAAGCATTAACTGCTTTTCTGAATTGGAGGTAGAATTTGCTAGAATGCTCCTACCTCTCGGGAGCAGGGCAAATGGGGAGATTTCCCGTACTACACTGTGCGATCGCGCGGTTCACTTAATTTTAGTTACTGCTCGCTGGACTGTCTGCAAAACAATCGCGTTGATAGATGTCTGGGGATGTAATAGCATCCTCCCCCCCCCAAAATTTAGATGTAACTGTACAAGGTACGGAAATTTATAAGCAAATACAAACAAGGTTATCTAATGCTGGGTATTTCAGAAATATCGTTCAAATTAAAACTAAAGTTAAGACAAGCGCATATCAGCTTCAATGCGACAAGGGATTCTGTACCTTTGGAATGATTTTTTTTTATTTAAGAATTTTCATCTACTTTTTATTAATATTATTAAATGGTTTTCTAAAACAAAATGATTTTAAGCTGAAAGAAAAATTTCTTTAGTAATTTTTTTATTTAAATTTTTGAAAAATTTAAACAATTAAAATGTCTTTCTTCTCCTACAATTTTCGATGTCCCTGTCCAAATTTTTTTACTGTATTTATTAGAGTGTTCTTAATAACTTCAAGTAACGATTTTGCAATTAAGGAACTAGTTTCTGAGAAAAAAAATAAAAATACAATTTTATGCAAAATCTTTGTAACAAACATGATCTCAGTCATTTTCATTTCAAACAATTTTTCTTTTCGGTATTTTGTAAAACTTATCCTTGTTTCTGTAACGTATGTAATTTTAAATAAGCAGTAAAAATAATAAATAACTTTCTTCATACCTGTATATGCTTTAGGATTTTTAAGTAAAATTATTTATCGAAAAAATACAAACTTTTCTCAGTGCGCATTTACAGTTTAAAGAATACAATCTGTCTAAATAGACATTAAATCATTTCAAGTTTCTTTAAAATTTTATTACTGAATTTCAGTACACACATACATGCACACCACACACACACACACACACACACACACATATATATATAAAACCTAATGCTACTTATTCATTAGGTAAATATAAACATAAATTACAAACTTTCATTTAACAAAACAATTTTAATACATGAATTGATTACAGATCATAAACCACTTGTTGCAATTTTCGGCTGAAAGAAAGGCATGCCAGTTTTAGCAGCAACAAGACTCTACATTACGCTTTGGCTTTACAGTCATTCCAATTCGATATTATTTACCGTAAAACAAACGATCATGATAATGCTGACTTTCTATCACAATTACCGACAAACTCGGAACTGTCTGTTCAGGATGATGTAACTATTTTTCAATTACAGCAGATTGAAACTCTTCCAATCACTGCCAGATATTTGGCTAAAGAAACTGAAATTGATGCATCACTCAGTCCTCTCCTACAAATAGTTCAAAGCAGCTGTGAATTAAAAGGAAGGGAAATGGAGTACAGTCTCCAAGATGGCTGTATAATGTATGATCAACGTGTTTGTTTTCCAAAACGGCACCATGAGAATGTTTTGAAAGAGTTGCAACACGGACACTTAGGGACTGTAAAGATGAAAGCAATTGCTAGATCTTACATATTTTGGAATGGTATAGATAAATATATCGAAAGTACTTCCAAAAACTGTTCTGAATACACAAAACATAAAAATAGATCCTCCTAAGGTAAAAGTTCATCATTGGGCGTACCCAAGTGCTCTAATGGAACGTATTCACATCAATTATGCAGGACCTATTTTTGAGCATATGTTTTTGATAATCGTTGATACTCACTCAAAACATCCAGAAGCCTATCCAATGAAATCAAGCTCGACTTTCGAAACAATAAAATATTTACAGGACTTTTTTGCACGATTTAGTTTACCAATATAGTACTCACTTCACATGAGTTTAAGATATTTCTACAGAGTAACAAAATCAAACACAAAACTACATTACCATTTAAACCATCTAGTAATGGGTAGGCTGAACGGTATGTTTTTACAGTAAACCAATCTTTCAGAACAATGCAAAATTATCCAGGAACTTTGAGACAGAAACTCAGTACATTTTTGATGCAATATAGGAAAGCTCCAAATTCAACTACTCTACAGAGCCCTGCAGTGCTAATGCTGAAGAGGGAAATTCGAACAGGAATAGATTTATTGAGATCAGATCTCAAAGGGAGGGTGGAAGACAGAATTTGAAAAGGAACCTACGAGTTTGGAGACCGAGGATTGAGAGTAGGAGATAGAGTGGCAGTAAGAAATTATTGCCAAGGTGATAGATGATTTATATTTGGAACCGTCAAATCCAAGGATGAGCAGCTTCATTACACCATAAATGTAGATGGTCAACTATGGCGACGACATATCGATCAGATGCGTGATGGACGAACCGTAATAGATGAAGGGTTCATACGTCCACCTGCAGCTCTCGTGATTTCCAAAGAGCCTAATAAGAGTGGGGTTGCAGAACTATCCAAAGATAATAGCCACCAGGCAGATGAGTCTGTGTCGTCCTATGAGCCCAAGGTAGTACCAGATGTTCCATCCACCAGACCTGTTGCTGATACAACCAGGTTATTTAAGAAACCTGCTGTGCCACAACCTTTGCATAGGTCCAGTAGAATTCAACATCCCCCAGTTAGACTGCAGTTATGATAAAGGGGGAGGGATGTGGTATATCATAATCGGACTTAAAGCTGGCACAGCGCCAAGCATCAAAACGCTTGCAGTAATAAGAAAATGACTGAAATGCGAGTAGCTGTAGATATAAGTGTGTATGCGAGTGATGATATATTTTGTACATATAATAAAGTAGCATGTAGAGTAAAAGAGTGTGTTTTGTGAAATAATTACCCACTACAGGATACACGGTAGTTAGTACATTTCAAAGTCCGAAATCCGGACTTGTCGGGACTTCGACGATTCTGGATTTGGGATTTTTCCAGATATTAGATCATCAGTTTAAATCTAGTATGATGGCATGTAGAAATTATAAAATTAAAATATGAAATCCTGATTTATGAAATAATAAAATATGTATGATCTAAAGGGTATCAAAATTTACAAAAAAAAAAAAAAAAAAAAAAAAAAAAGAGCTTTATATTTGTTTACCTTATTAAATGTTTCTTTCAATGTAAGTTGTGCTTTGTTTTTTGTGTTAATACTTTCTCTTTAACTCTGTAGACAGACATAATCTCTTGTTTAGTTACATTGTTGAATTCCTGTAACTGTTGTTTCGAGAATTCTAACTTGTCAATCAAAATTTTCTCATTTTCAGTAACTTCTCTGTCACTTTCTTCACTACTGGTAGTGGTATTTTCTGGATCTAGAACCATACTACAAATTTTGCCATTCATTAATTGATTCATGATTGAGAAGTATTATCATCACCAGGGAAAACTTCTTTTATATCATCTTCAATTATTACCGCTTCTCCACATTTCTTTAAAAAAATCCATGAATTGGAAAATTTCACCTTTTTTTTTTTTGTGATATCCAAAAACCTTTAGCGGCTATCATCATCAAATTTAGCTATTCTTCATTATACTTATTTGGCTATCATCATGAACTTGGCGACTAAAGACAAGTTGTTCCTTTAAATTTTATCTTGCTTCTATCGTGCACTGAGATAATTAAGCCTGAATTGTATTAGTTTAGTTATTTATTATACTTATGTCTATTTCTTGCACATGCTTAAGGCTTATCATGGTTCTGAATAAATAAATTCCCACATATAACTTCAGCCTTATTGAGGGCCAGCACTAGATATTTTACTGCCTGATGCAGTCTCTGTGGGTCCTAAATTCTATGACTCCTTGCGGCCATACGAGCCCTGGCACTGGTTCTGGGTTTATGTGAATAACAAATCAGTTATTTTTTAACTCAAATAGCCCTAAATGTAATCTTTGGGTCTATGAGTATCATCAGCAAAATCTATTTAGCATATGGAAAGAAATTTTTGGTAAATTTTTCCTTGTCAATATTTTTAGCGCATTTAACTTAAATCTGTAATCATTGCCAAGTGTAATGCCAACATAAAAGGTTACCATACTCCTTTATTATTCAATAACATAAAAAATTTGTTTAGGCATTGCTACATGAGTCATTACTCAAGTGCATGTGGTGATGAAAGGAAAGTATAATAAATAATGATTCCCCCGTTTGGCATCAGATCAATGATGTTATCTATGTGGAATGTTTTGATTTGAGATGTGTGCCAAAAAGCAGATATGCAGCAAAGCAGCCAAATTGCTGATTATACAAATTTATGCTAAAATGATTTTTTCTTCAATAACAAGGCATTTTATTTAGTGTCAAAATAAATTAAGAATCGGGACTCTCCATGTTTTATTTTGCATGGAGGGGAGGGGATCAAATCTGGAGAAGAGTAGAAAAATGTTGGTGGTTATGAGGTCCCGATTTTGGATCATTCCGGATAATGGACGTCCGGATTTCGGAATTTGTACTGTATTAGTGAAGATGTGCAGGTTTGGGTGGATGCACACAGTTCTGTTCCTGTTGCATTATCTTAAGAGGATGATGAAATAATTGGATATATACTGAGAGACAAGAAAGATGAATAATGAGAAGGGAGGATGAAGATGAATATGATATGCAGACCAAGAAAGTTACATGGAAGGAAGCTGCCAATTAATTACAGACTTTCAAAAGATTTGCTGAGAAATATTCACTTATGGCAGTGCATGATGATATTTTAAACAGGCCCACATTTAAAGTTATATATCATCACAGTGAGAAATGTGTCATGGTAATTTATGTGACACTGTGTTTAATTTGTTGTAAGATGATGTTTAATTTTGATTTTCTGAAGTATAAATCTTGGGTATGTGTTTTAATTTTAAATAACCTGTAGGATTTTCAATATTTATTTTTAATTATGGCCGATAGATCCAAAAATATGACTAACAGAATGTGCATGCTGTTATTTCTACATGTGGTATCACAAAACATGAGTAGTTAAGTTATAGAAATATATATTCAATTATCCAGAAAAACTATCCATCCATTCAACTACCTGCTTGTTAAGAATGATTCCATTGTAATATGTTGCATAAAGAAAATTTTTTTTCATACAAATCGTGCAACTTTTATGAGTTGGTATCATCAGATAATTGTGCTCTCTATTAAAAATTGTATTACTATGAGAATTAAACATCTTTCAATTACTGCAGTATTCATTTTAGTAAATTAAGTATATTATTTTAATCTTGGTAGTAAGATAATGGATGCTTATTTAAAATTTTAGTACACTAGTTGTAATTAATAGAATTACCTTAATAAGTCTTCAAGTTACGAGGGCCATCCAGGAAGTAGATTACGTTTCCGTCTGTGTCCGCTAGGGGCGGGGCTAGCGCGGCCATCTTGGGGTCAGAGCGTTGCGCAGCTCAGTCTGCATCTAGCCGTGCTAGTGAGAGGTTCGTGCTGTGCTCCGTTCAGATACTGTGACGGTTTGAAATGTCTGCGTTAATTGAAAATCCCGCGAGCTGCGAGGTGCGCTCAGTAATAAGGTTTCTGACTGTAAAAAACTGTAAACCGATAGAAATCTATCGGCAGCTTCGTGAAGTGTATGGGGACAACATTATCACTGAAGGTGGAGTGCGTCAGTGGGTCATAAGATTTCAAAATGGCCGAACCAATGTTCACGACGAAGATCGAAGTGGGAGACCCAGCATAGTGACCGCCGAACTTCTCGAAAAAGTCGATGCTAAAGTCCGTGAAAATCGAAATTTCACAATAACGGAACTTTCTTTGAGTTTTCCACAAATTTCGCGCAGTTTGTTGCACGAAATCATCAGTGAAAAGCTTGGTTACCACCACAAGTTTTTGTGCAAGATGGATTCCAAAAATCTTGACAGAGGACCACAAAATCAGCGAATGGCTGCAGCGTTGAACTTTTTGGACGCTTACCTTACCATAAGGATGGTGACTCTTTACTCGATCGCATCGTTACTGGTGACGAAACATGGGTGAAACGTGAAACTGTGAAACGAAATTGCAATCAATGCAGTGGGGGCACACAAGTTCTCCCCCAAAAACCCAAGAAATGCATGCAAACAATGTTGGCAAGGAAGATGATGGCGACTGTTTTTTTGGGACAGAAAAGGTGTAATTTTGGTGGACTTCCTGGAAAGAGGCACTACAATAAACTCTCAAAGGTATTGCCAAACTCTCCAAAAACTCAGAAGAGCAATTCAAAAAACAAGCGCAGAGGAATGTTGAGCTCTAAGATCTTGTTGATTCACGACAACACGCCCCACGCCCCCCACACGGCAAATGTCACTCGTAAGTTCTTGAATCTTTTAAGTGGGAGTTGTTTTTTCCTCATCCGCCGTACAGTCCCGACCTGGCACCAAGCGACTTCCACCTATTCCCAGCAATGAAGAAGTGGCTGGCTATGCAGCGTTTTGATGACGACGCACAGCTGCAAGAAGAGGTAACGAAGTGGTTGAAGGCGCAGGCGGCCGAATTTTTCGACGAAGGAATTTCCAAGCTCGTACATCGCTACGATAAATGCCTTAATTTGTATGGTGACTATGTAGAAAAGTAGTATTTGAGTGTGGCTTTCATCTGTATATAATAAAATTTGTTTCCTATACTTTGTTTATTTTTTTATTCCAAAACGTAATCTACTTTCTGGATAGCCCTCGTATATTTAATCTCATTCCTGCTATTCTGAATAACATGTTAAATTTACCTATCCTTAAATTTTAAAGATCATGTGTTCCTTATTGAAAATATAGTTGTTAAAATATTTGTGAACGATATTAATTAGTATTATTGTGAAGTGTTGTGATTGTTTTCTTCATAATTTTTCCATTCTAAAGGTGGCTATGGTATAAAATTGCCTGTTTGCCTTGATTTTAAAGTATTTAAATGTGGTTTAAAATGCTGACCTTTTGTCACAATTTATTGCACTAAAGATTTCATAAACCCAGTTTTTAATTGATATCACTTAGTGTTGTTGCATTCATTTATTACTATAATCAGTTGAAAAAATAACGAGCATAACATCCTTGCTCTCTATATTTTTTTCAGCGATGATTTTTATCAAAATTTTGATAAATTTTTTTGACCATATCTTCTTTTTAGCGAACAAGAAATATTTCCATGGTCACCTTTATGATATTTATGAAGCAGTGTCAAGTGGAAGAGGGAATGCTCTTCGTTCCTAAGGTAAAATGAATTTTTTAATTTGAAACTACAGTCCAACTTCATTAGCAGATTCCCCCCGGGATAAGTAGGTCAACCCACTTATAAAAGCAGATTTTTTTCAATCCCAACCGATTTTTATTTCATTTCCGTATTAAATGTATTCATTTATTAAGTCACAGAGATTCTAATTCCAGCTACAGGTCACATTTAACTGGTAATGTAAAAAGAAGTGTTCATTCTCCAGAAAGGAAACAGGTGCTATTCTAATAGTGATCAATTTTTATTCAGTCCATGATAGCTGTCTATTTCATCCGTAGTTAACAGACATTGCATTAAAAATATAAATTAACAATCAAAAGTAAGAACTTAAGTGAAAAAAGATTTTTCTAATATGAAAAGCCAAAACATTATGACCATCTACTCAATAATGCCATGCACGACCTCTGGCCTGCAGAAAAGCTAAAACTCACTGTATGGATGCCACACATTTTTGGTAGATGACTGGAGACAGGTTGTACCAAATGTCTAAGCAACCATCACATAAAGTCAAGATACTTTGATATGGTGGAGTTTAAACTCTGAACTGGTGCTCCATATTTCAAATGTGTTCTGTTAAGATCCGCCAACTTAGGTGACCAGGACATTAATTCGAATCCATCCTTATGCTCCTCAAACCACTCCAGTATAACTCAAGCCTTATGACATGAGGTGTCGTCCTGCTGGAAGACTCCATTTCCAGTTGGGAAGACAGAAGCCATGTAAGGGTGCAACTGATCTGCAGTTACATTCATATAGTTCCCAGCTTTCATGGATTGTTCTACCACAACTAAAGATCCCAGAGCCACCCACGAAAACATCCGCCAAAGCATAATGCTGCTAAACCAGTCTATTTATGACCTGCTGTACAGGGAGAGCAACTGTTCACTTGGAAGACAGCATACCCTGACATGTCATCGATGTGATGAAGGAGAAATCATGATTTATCTGATCAGGGAATTGTCTTTCACTTAGTCATGGTTCTCGATGTTCAGGGGCCTACTTTAGGCGTAGTTGACAATGACACTTGGTCAACAGATGCACACGAGTGCGACGTCTGTTGTGCAGTCTCATATCAAACAGTGTCTGCTGAACTGTGTGTTTTGAAACACTTGCACCTTGAAACTGCGTTGTATCAGGCTGTCAACTGAACCACTGTCTGTCGCCCATTTTGCTGTACCAAGCAAGAGTCACCAATGTCCTTTTTGTCAATGATGCATGCATGTCCAACACCTTGCACTTTACTGCTGGTTTTACCATCATTTATCTACTTTGCATAAATACTATCAGCCGCAGATCTTGAACAACCTACCAGTCGTGCAGTTTCAGAGATGCTCATTCTCTGTATCAAATCTGCTTAGATAAGCTGGCTTTCACATCACTGACAAAAGTAAGTGCATGAATGATTCCTTACCATCTCCAACAGCAGTTAAATACCATTCCCCTTAATCTCATGCCCTCAACATCATTTAGACTAGTTCATTGAAAAATCTGGGGATCATCATAATGTTTTAATTCATCACTTTATTTAAATTTAAATACTGATGCAAATAGATACATGTTGTGTTTATTGTGAAGATTATGCGAAAATAAATGGAGATTTAAATATAATAAAGTGGAACCTTGATTGACCAAGGTAAGTGTAATCATAACTACCTTGTAAAATCGAAAACTCAGTTAATAGCCACTAAATATTAAGTAATGCCAACTTTTCTTTCAACAAAATACTTTCTACTTGAAATTCTGAATTCTTAATTCGTAGTCTTTCTAGTTGAAATTCTGAAAATAAATGCACAGATACTTCTATTAACATTTTGGCATACTATTTAATCAGAATTATTTAACTGAAGGAAATTTTTCTTAAATTAAACAAATAATCCATGCAAGATTTAATTTCTTGGCAATATTCATTAAAAAAATTAGGATAGACATACTTTATCAAAATGTAAAAAAATTATGAAATATTGAGTTAAACAATTTACTTTTCCTTCTTTCCCCCCCCCTTTTGTGATATTTCTATAATTATCAGCTGGTGTGCAATCATGCTAGTTTTTGACTAAAAAGTTATTCATGGGAGAAGCAGCAAGATGTTTTTGTTTGAATAGCTTTGATTAAGACTACTGTGGCAAATTTTCACATTTTCCATTTCTGTTTCAGTTGTCATTCTTAGCTTCACTTTCATCGCTGCAGTTTTCGCTGTTTTCTAGATTTGCAGTGCAAATTATTTCTTTGTCACTTAAAAGTTTGAGAACTTGTTCTGCTTTTTAAAAAAAAAATTTCCATTCTGAAATATCAGTGATAGTGTCACACCATAGTATTCTTTGAAACATGTTAGTGACTTCATTGTCAGGCAGTGTCTGACTGTTAGTATTCTTTCCATCATTATCGTATGTAAACATCTTTTACTGTACTGCTCAGTAGAAGGATCTTTAAATGACCTCTTATTGAAAAGAAAGGCCACAATCACTTTATTAATCAGATAAGAGAATTCACGGATGTTACTGATTTTTGTTGTAATCTTTCTGATTCTTAAAACTTATTGAAAGCACAGTTAACAGAGACTGTGACTGATAAAGCTCCAGTTAATAGAGGGGTTACTGGATGTTATAACTCCCATTACCTTTTTCTAAACATGTTCCTGGGTGGGTGGTATAGCTTAGGCTTGCCAAACCACTCCTAAACCCATTTTCAAATTCCTTGCAAAGCGTGAATGTTTGTCTTTATAATCTTTTTTGAACGGAGGCATTTATTTTATTTGTTATACATATATATGTGTGTGTGTGTGCATGCAAGGTTCCATCAGAGGAGTCCCTGATTTCAAAATTGAAAATCTTTAAAACAAAGATCAACAGAGGAATACAGCAAGCAGTATATTTATTGTGAAAGCTGTAAAGTTGTTATGCAGATGTTTCCAAATAATAGTAACAAACACACAGCGCTCTAATCGCAATACATATCGCTTCTAAAGATGTAAGACCTTTCGGTTCCACTCTTGAAATGTAAAAGGAGGTTAGCGTGTGGGTGAGGTTGAAATCATATTCCATTGAACGTGTATGTCTGGTACTGAAATACCAGAGGTTAGGTCATGGTCATATGGCAGGCAACAAGGCTTAGTTTTCAAACGTGATTGAATGTTCCCAAAGAACTGATGTGAAAACCATACACAAGCTCTTCGCTAATGTCCAGCGGACAGGTAGCATGGCTGTTACGAGACTCAACCTCAGTTTTGTTCATTAAGTCGGTACTCCATTAAAAGAAACATAAAGAGAAATTTATAATTAATTAATACGGGCAATCCACCCAATTAATTCACTGTAAAACAGGCAATCCACCTTAATTAAATCACTATAAAACAGGCAATCCACCTTAATGCAAAATCATGGTGCATTTTTACTTTATTTATTCTAAACATAAAAAACGATAGAATGTTGCCAAACCGTAAAAATTTAACCTTTAAAGAAATTACATTTATACAATCGTTGAGTTGCTCGTGACAGTGGCTGATGATCTGGCAGGAAGTCTTGGTCTCAGACAAATTGTAGTTACTCCTGAAAATGTTGCAGTTGTTTGTGGAATTATTCACCAAAATCAAGGAAATTCATCTGAAGAATTGTACCAGAGACTGGTTTGAAGTGTTCCAGCATGCAGAAAATAATGAGAAATAGTCTAGGCATGTTTCCATTCAAAGTCCAGATACCAGCATACATCACCATCCATTGGCAGTTTTTTTAACTATTATTTAGAAACTTCTATATAATAATCTTAACAGCTTTCGATGTAAATATACCACTTGTTGTATTCCTGTATCGATCTTTATTTTCAAGATTTTTAATTTTGAAATCAGAGACTTCTCTGCTTGACTTTATCAGAACTCCTTTCTGAACGTTAGTGGTAGAGAGAGTGGGTTGTAAAATTACAAGATTTCATGTTATACATCATAATCAAGATAGAGCTTTATATTATAGGTTTTACCTTAATCAAAAATTCCAGTCTTCCAGTAGTTCTTTGTCATCAAGAAATTTCATCACACGCTCCTGAATATATGTAAATGTTAGTAATTATAATGCTTAATTGTTTGATAAATATTTTGTTTTTTTCTTGAAAAATGTAACTGTTCTTAGGATTGTATGGTAATTAGTTTGTTTCAGACATTTTTATCCATCCCATATCAAAAAAACTTTATGTTATAGGGTGTTACTTATGAGGAAAATAAGAGGAAATTTTGCAACATTTTGTTTTTTACAAAAAAAGAGAGACATTCTCACCAAAAAGGCGGGGAAGTTAGGAAAGAAATCCTGTGAAATAATTAAAGCTTGTGTTTTAAGTATTGTCTTTCTTAAAAAGAAATCAAATAAAAGAGGTTATTACTGTAATCTTTATTTTTTTCTTGCAGGAAGTCTTTTGCTTAACTCCTATTGAAGTAAAAAAGTTATAGTAAAGAAAATATTGTAATTATATGATAGATTTTAATGTTGAAAATTATTATAAAAGTGGCAGATGGGTTGTGACAAAATCTGCTGTTTCTTTACAGATGAGAGGTTACTTATCAGGTGCAAGTTGGTAATTTTCACGAATTATTTTTAAAGATTCCAAAACTATCAATTTTTATCATAAGCCAGCAAACATTATCAACATATAAAAAAAATGTTAGCAATTTGAAACACAAACTTTTAATTATTAAATAAGGATTGTATGATGCATTAAAAAATAAGAAATAAAGTACATAAGTAAGAAATAAGTACAATTTTCGGGATATTGTTCTGTAATTTTTTGCTCATCCATTTACACAGTGATATGTTTTTACTTTAGAAAAAATCAGAGAACTGCATAAACCTGTGGACATGCACAAGTTTGGAATTGCTGAGAGGCTATCACTCAAACACATCTAATGATGATTCCTTTTAGCGGTTTTGCAGCAAAACATTGTATTTCTGTAGAAATCTTGCCACAGATTTCATCCATTTCTGGCAAATTTTACAAGCAAC